AGGCTGGGTCTCCCCGGGAGGGTTAGCCCAGGCTGGGTCTCCCCGGGAGGGTTAGCCCAGGCTGGGTCTCCCCGGGAGGGTTAGCCCAGGCTGGGCTGCTGACCCTGCAGCATCCGTTTCAGTCTCGCTTTGAGATGTCAGGCCCCGGACATTGTTCACTTAGAGACCAAGACCCTGTTACTAGGGCGACCGGACAGATCTGGGGCTGTGAATAAAAACCCCTGCTGATTGGAAAGTTCTCACCACCTTCCTGGTTCACAGTGGAGCCCACTGTCCACGGGACTCCTCTCAGTTCCTCTCCTTTACCTTTAAGCCCGTCTAGACGACAAGTCTTAGAGGTATTTCTGATTTAATTCATTCCATAAGTCTTTATTGACGGCTCCCAAATGCCAGGCACTGTGCTTGGCTCTGAGAGTACGTTGATATATAAACTAAAGTCTCTCCCTCCGGTTTTATAATCTAGGGAGGGAGATCGGTAACAAACATTTAAAAAGAAGAAGAAGGAAAAAAAAAAAAAAGCCCTGCAAGGTAATGGGTGCTATAAATAAAAAGGATAACACAACTAATATCAAAGGAGAGCTTTGGAAACAGATAATTCCTAGATTTTTGTTTTAAGGAACTGGCCAAAACCGAGAAGAAATGTGTTTGTCTTCCTAGAGCAATAAATGGGTTTCCTTTTCCAAAGCCAAGTAGTGAAAAAATTCAGAACTCAGAGTCAAAATATTTCAGTTAAAGGTCATGAAAGACGGACTGAGGAGTTCTGAATGAAGGGGGCAAATCTGTCATGACATGACATTCCAAACCAGGTAAAAAGGACCCTCCCCACACACATGAGATCCCAAACCAGGTAAAAGGACCCCCACACACATGAGATCCCAAACCAGGTAAAAGAATCTCCCCACACACACACATGAGATCCCAAACCAGATAAAAGAAGCCCCCACACACATGAGATTTCAAACCAGGTAAAAGAATCTCCCCCCACACACATGATATCCAAAACCAGGTAAAAGGACCTTCACACAGATGACATCCCAAACCAGGTAAAAGAACCCTCCCCACACACACACATGACATACCAAACTAGGTAAAGGGACCCCACACACACACATGAAATCCCAAACCAGGTAAAAGAACCCTCCCCACAACATACACATGAGATCCCAAACGAGATAAAAGGACCCCCACACACAGGACATCCCAAACCAGGTAAAAGGACCCACACACACACACATGACATCCCAAACCAGGTAAAAAGGACCCCACACACACAGGAGATCCCAAACCAGTTAAAAGGACCCCCCACACACACACATAAGATCCCAAACCAGGTAAAAGAACCCTCCCCACACACACATAGGAGATCCCAAACCAGGTAAAAGGAC